TTCACCCAAGATCAGAAGAGGCCTCCGAGTCAATGCCTGAGCAGATAATTCCACTGCTGAGAGCCCTTGGGCTATGAGGTCCCCAGGTTGAGTAAGCCAAGTCCTGCTTCTTCCTTGATCCTCAGGCAGATTTTTGTTGTGGAGCAGATAATTTCACATCCTTCAGACACAATTCCACAGCTCAGGAACAGCAAAATACAGCAAACATGGAGACACAAATGAATTACTTATGACCATAGGTGTTTGTGTGTGCACATACCAGCGTGTATGTGATATCAATCAGCGCAGTTCTCTTCCCACTGAGATGCTTGCCTTGTTTTTGGTTTTGTTTTTGTTTCTCTCCAGTGTTGGCATTGAACCCAAGGCCTTAAAACTGAACTGCACCCCCGAGCCCTTATTTTGTTTGTTTTGAAACAAAGTCTCACCAAACCATTAAATCACCCAGGCCAGGCTTGCAGTTGCCATTTTCCTGCCTTGACTTCCAAGAGTGGTGGGATTGTTGGTCATGTACCATCCCCTACCCAGGCCAGTGAGTTTTCAAAGACAAGATCTTTAATAAGATCATCATTCTGCACTAAACAGACAGACCTTCCGCAGATGGGGAGGGGACCAAGACAAAGGACAGGTAGAGGAGAAGAAGGAGACCCACAATGAATGAAGATGTGTGAGGTCCACGCACCCTGAGCTGTCTGTCATAGCCGCCTGTGGCATCCTGACCACAGCCCCACTTCCTGAAGGCACCTTGCCACTTATATCTTCATGTGTGGCTGGGAGACTCAAGTCTTAGAGCCCCACGGGAAAGAACTCAAAGGACCCAGATTAGAAGCAGAGTTTAGCTTTTCCCTTCCTAGCTAAACCTGGCAGTGTGTGCTTCCCATGGGAGGCTGACCTTTGCTAGACTGGTAGAAGCAAATGACAGAATTGGACAGAATCCTCCAGGGAGTGGGCATGGTACAGAGGGCAGCATACTCCATGGGTGGACATCACACCATGCTTGCCTCATTCCCCTATTTCCTCTGGAAGAGTCACAGTGGGATTTAGGGGAAAAAATAATTTCAGATGAGCATTTGCCATATGAGGATACTTTATAATAGTGCTTTTTAACTTGCAAAAGGAAAGGCTTGCTTTTCTTAGAAAAGATTAACAGCAAGTTGCTAGCCAGTGATGGCCAAAGAGAATATTCGACGGGATTGTACGATCACTGTCAACATAGAGGAAGCCAGGGGACTTCCTCGTGTTTATTTGGAAAGAACTCTGTGAGCCAAGAATTAAAGTTGTTTGAGGCGATATTAGAAAGTCATTTATCTAAAGGAGGGAAACCAATGCAAATGAGTAGAGCTATTATTCTGATTCTTAGGATGAAAAATTAGCAATCAACAAAGCAGGAATATGAATAAAAGAAAAGACTATACCTAATTAGTTTGAATACATGCAATTTGCCACTTAAAACTAAAGCTATTAGTGAACTTAATGGTGGCTCTACCTACTAATAGATTATTATGGATACCAAGCACATGGCATCAGTTCTGATAACTTCAGGTCACAACATTGTATTAATTGGATTACATTGTCTTTTTTATTTTTTTGAGGCAGAATCTTGCTATGCAGCTCAGGATGGCCTTGAACTCACATGTATTCCAGGCTGTCCTTGAACTCAAGGCAATCCTCTTGCCTCAGCCTCCATAGTTCTGGGATTACAGGCATGTGCCACCACGCCCAGCTAGTTTACATTTCAAGAATCTCTGTCTTGAACCTAGATGTTAATCCTGTATACTTTTAAATGGTTTAGTCTGCAATTAAATGTGTGTCAATCCCTTATGCAACATGAATTCTCCCTAAATAGGACAGTAGACAGAAATTCACAAGGTGCATGACCTCACTGCCCTTCAAAGTGTCCTGCAAATGATGGACAAGGACTCTGAAGCCTGAGAAAAGAGCACCTTCTTCCTCGGGCTGTTACTGCTGCTCCAATCACATGAGGAATGCTCTGTGTTTAAGAAGCTTTTGGCATGTCACCTGCCCATCTGGATTGTAGAACATTATGGTCAGGGAATTTAAGATGCAATCTGAAAACTATGGTGACCAGATTTTTAAAAGAAATTGGTTATGGCAAAAGAATTGCCTGGAAACCTCCTCCAGACCACAAACACACTCATCCTGGAGTTTCCTCCGCTTCCCGAAGCAGCTCTCCGAGTCCTCCTCTCTGTGTGTCCTCGGAACTGTGATCGAAAATAAGGTGAATGTCACAGACAAGCACTCTTCAAAGGAGAGGCAGCTTGTGCCCAAGTGGCACCGGGTCCTTCTCTCCCTGAGTCCCCAGTCGGCACCTTTCAGGACAGTTGGCCACAACTGTAATGAAGGACACTCAAGAAACGGGGCTGTGGAACTGCTTCAGAGAGTGGCAAGAACCGGACAAGTGTGTTGGAGTCGAGTGCCAGTGTGTTAGAGAGGATTAATGGATGTGTACCTCAGTCCAAAACACACTTTCTGACATTCACACACACCGTCATTTCCAACCCTGTCATTAGTAAAAGCCCTGGTCAAGAGGGAAGGCACACTCTTTGTTAATTAAGGAAATATTACCAAATATTTAAAAAACGAGAAAATTTCACTGAAAATGTATTCTGTGCCTATTTCTGCATATCATGCCACACATACTCTCTAATTAATACCAATAGATAGGAAATCGACTTGCCTTGTGATAATTTATGAGCGTAATTCTTGAAGGACCCATAATTAATGTTTGGGCAGGGATGATAATTATAAATATATTAGTTTTTCTGGCCATAAGAAATTAGTTCTTACTGTGATCAGAATTGTTCTACCTTAGGGTTTCTTAAAGGTCTTACAGAAATGTACCTTAGGGTTAATTAAAGACCCTCTAAAGGGGTGTTGGATTTGCACCTGTTCTATGGTGTACATTAACTGAGCATGTGTAAAACATTTTGTACCACTGCCCCAGCTCAATAAATGATAAAAATTAGCAAGAGGCATTATGGTAACCATTGTTGATTACCTTGTATTCTGTTTTTACATCATGTACTATGTCCATCCTTTGTTTTGACTGACTTTGTTTTATCACATTTGGTTTTATTCTTTTCCAAAAAAAAAAAAAAAGTAATAAGAACTGTGGGAGTAATAAAACCCAAAATGTGTAAATGTTATTGTAAAAAAGACAGGAAAAGAAAGTGCTCTAAAGGATACAACTGCAAGTGTGTTTAGATGTGTAAGACAGATAACCATATTACGAAGTTTTTGTTGGATCATTGAACACAACTGTTTGCAGTCTCACTGTTGGAATGTCCACTTTATATGCTTTAATTTTGTAACTTGAACAACTATTTCTAAGATGACAATATGTAATCTATTAACTAGTGATTTCTTACTGTTTATTTTTTGAAATTCTGTATTACTTGTACCCTTTTACTGTTTTGTTTTTGTTTTTTTTTTCTTTAAATAAAATTTTAAAAAATAAATGATAAAGAAGAGTCAAACCCATAAACAACCTAAAGATGGGGGAAACAGGTACTCGAACCTGCCTCCCCTCAAACAGCCTTCCTGCCACTATAGGGCAGCTGTGCTCATCTGAGGGCTGCGTAGAGCCAGGGGCAGCACAAGCAGAGAGCACTGGGAGGCTGGGAAGTGCATTTCCACATCTCTCTTTTTGTGAGGCACCCTCCCTGGGAGCACCCTTTGGTCCTTCACCCTCATGTGGCAGCTGTAATTATCTCTTTTTCACTGAATCAAAAATCCACCAAAGTCTTCTTGCATACCCGAGAAATCCTGTGAACAGTGGAAGCATGCAGGCCACCTCCTCTCCCAGGGACCTTGCAGAGCTGCCCTATGCATGAGGCTCACTCCCGTGCAGGGGACCTGGGAGAGCAGAGCTGCTGGGGAAGCACCTATAGTCATCCGCCTTGGGGCAGGGGTCCTTCCCTGCTCTGCCTCTGTTGGTGGTGTTGATATCCCTTGACAATGGCTAATAAATAAACTTCCTTTGCAACAGTGCAGCACATGCATTTTATCGTACACTTCCAAGAACCAGCAGTGTAAACCCCCAGCCATTAACTGTCCTCCACTGTTGGTGGGAGTGCAGACTGGTGCAGCCACTGCAGAAATCAGTGTGGAGATTCCTCAAAAAACTAGGACTGGTGGTCGAACTCCACCCAGCTGTTCCCATGCTGGGCATATTCCCAAAAGAATTAAAAACATCGAACCATAGTGATATATGTGCACCCATTTTTATAAGCAGCGTAGTTTATAATAGCTAGATCTTGGAAACAACCTAAATGCCCATTTACTGAGGGATGGATAAAAAAGATGTGGTATTTTTATACAACAAAGTACTACTCAGCCATAAACAGTGATAAGCTGGACACTTTAATAGGTAAATGATGTGCCTTGAGAACATACTCATTAGTGAAATAAATAAGACACACGTGCAAACACTGTATTGTTTCATTAGTGTGATAAGCTGAAATAAAAATATATATGTGTATATGTATATGTATATAAAAATAAGATAGTTATACCACTGATTTCTCTGAGTTCTCTGAAGAGAAAGATTTGTGCCAGCCTTGTTTGGTCAGTCAAAGGTAGATACCTCACGCTCTGGGTGAATGATTTGGGAATGACAGTGCACAATGTATGCACCATTATTACCCCTGACTGACTTGCTTTAAAATTTTGTTGCACTGGGATTACAGGCATGTACCACCACACTTGGCTTCAATGTATCTTTCTTAGGTTTTTGTTATTCATTTGCATGCAGAGATATATTTTATATATGCACAAACATTCATATATATATATATACACACACACAACAAATGTTTCACACAATTAAGTCATAGAAACTGTACATATTGTTATGTAGCTTGCTTTTCCTTAGACTACAACATATGTTGAAGAGGTGTCCCTGGAGTACCTCAGGAGATAACACAGGAGTTATTTCTTTTTTCACATCTGTATTTTTCAATTTTTCTACAATAATCATGCAGAGAGCCATTTGTGGACTGTGGGGGAAGAGAACAAGAAGTCACCAAGAAGCAAGCACTCTCTGCGAATCAGCACCGTGCACATGCTGCTGGGGGGACAGCCAGATCCTAGCCCCTTCCAGCACGTGGGCTGACAAACAAGAAGAGCCAGCCCCCTCCCCCTGCCATAAGTGACCAGCTGATCCGGAGAAACACAGGCTGCAACGATAGCTATTGATTGAGGTAAAACACAATTTAATGCTTGTAGTGTTTAGTGTTTCACTGGCTCTGCAGTTCGAAAGCTGGGAGTCTGGTCTGCTACCCAGAGGATAACAGCATACGTGTAGCATCTATGTGGGTCTTCTTCTGAAGGTAGTGGCCACTGTTAATTCCCTATTATCTGGTTTTGAAGTCCTGTATCATTTTCACTGTTTCATTGGACTGGGTTAATTTCTGTTTTGCTTTGTTTGATTTTATTATATCCAATGGCATAGGCAGCTATTTCAAAGATAACACGATATATTATGATAGCCATTGTGGATTTACTATTATCTAGTTGTGAAGTCCTTTATTGCATTCACTATTTTGTTTTTATTGGTTCTCTTCTCTTCTGTTCTGTTTGATTTTTACTGTGTCTGCAAGTATCTGCAGCTATTTTGAAGACAGCAAGAAGCATTGTGATAACCATTGTTGATTTCCTCTTGTTTTGAAGTCCTATGTCATTTATACTGGTTCATTTTGATTGGCTTTATTCTGTTTTATTTTACTTGGCTTTATTTTCTTCAAAAGAAATAATAATCATGTGAGGCTTTATAATGATACACACGGAAAATGTCACATGACTATCACAAAAAGGAGCCAACAAAGAAATGCTGTCAAAAGAAGGAGGATCAGTGGCCTCTGCTTTCTGTCCAATAAAGGGGAAAAAAGACAATTTCAGTGATTATAAGATGGAGAAACGGAGTATACAAAACCTTATCACCTTCAAAATTTAACAATTTTGGAAACAAAACTTAGAGTGGCTTATCCACAACAGCAGTCACGCTGTTATGCCATATGATGCCCAAGAGCAGAAATACATGTGTCCCCTCCTGCCCAGGGCGACATGAAGAGAAGTTTGCAAAATGTCCTGTGTGTCTTTGCAAGTTTTGCTTTGACTAGGAAGGGAAGAAAACCTTTCGAGGGACTGCCCTTTGACACCAAGGCTAATTTACGCAGAGTTCCTTCATTATACAACAGATTTACTTCACTGCTCGTTTTTAACATTAAAAAGTGATCACTTTATAGCTCTGAAATTTTTAAAGCTTTTTCAACCTCACGCTTCATTCTCAGGAGCCCTGAGGTGCCCGCATCACCTCGGAAAATAGAGCCGGGATAATCTTGTGACTGTCTTCCCTAACTCAGCAAATTGATAAGACAACAAAGGAAGTCTGGCTTCCAGTCCCATGTCCTGAACCAAGCCAAACCGATTTTTGCAAGCTAGATTCAGTCCTGGCCCCAGAATAAATTTTAACATTAGAACAAAGTCAAAAGCGCGTTACTTGGAGAGAGTCAGGTGCATGGTGGGTTCTAGCCCTGGCCACACCAACGTGAAAGTCTATCTATCCCACAACTATTCTGGGTAACCGGGAACCAGGAAGGAGATTTGCTCAAACACTTTCCTTGTGACAAGTGCAAATAAATTTACCAAATTGCCCATAGTCTAAAGCTATCCAAGCAACACCATCGTCACATAAATAAAAGAAGCCAAGTTACTAGCAAACCTCTATGTGCAGGGATGTGAAGGGTTCCAAACTACTGATTTTAATATCTGATCAAATGCTAGCAAGAGTAGGGATAGGGACAATATCAAAAATGGACCATCTGTTACTATTGAAGCCATCCTTAGACAAGAATAAATTACTTTTCAGGGGAAAAATATTGTTCTTTCCAGAGGAATAGGAATGCGGTATAAACAATGAGATGAGATAAAGCTGTTGATATCAAAGAGTGAATTGTATTATAATGCTGAAAAATAGTGCCCATTTCCTGTTATTGCTGCTATAAGTAAAACATGATTTGAAAGACAAATTACCACGTTACTATTCCTGAGCATCCTGTAAGTAATAACAGCGCAGTAGACAAGAGACCAAGCATCTAAGCACCTCTGTCTCCAAGGTGCAGGGGAGGAAGACGTCCATTGCTCCTTCAAGGAAGAGAACATGTTTTCCTCCTAAAACTTAAAGAATCTAGGCAAGCCTTTATATAAGACAAACAAAATCCACACTTCAGGCAGGGACCAGATGAACTGCACATACCAAAGGTGAGCAGAATACACTGTAACCAGTTTTTTTTATTACCTTAAAAGACACATTGTCGTGAGTCCCCCCACCCCAGAATTCTCCCTCTCTCTCTGACATACACCGTTATGAAGCAGGTTTGAAAGTCATCTTTGGTGTCATTAAGAGGCATAATCAAAAATGCAGTGAATGCTGCTACTGAGTGCAATGCAACAGAGAGACGAGCTAATTCCTCACCTACCTTATTCATCGGACTTGTCACTGTGTTCTGTGTCACTTCTGCTCTTCCCCAAAGCGCAATGACCAGGAAAGACAATGTCTTGGGTAGATTCAGGCCATGGACCCAGCCACAGCCGTGCAACTAAAGACACTCAGGAAAGAGCACTGCAGAGCTGTTCAGAAAGTGGCCAGGATGATGGGGTCACAGCGAGGGGGACTCGTGGCCATGTTCTTTTCACGTGGAATGATGCTTTTAATGTAAGTGCATCTGTACCTTTGGACACCCTCGTACCCTCTCAGGGGTAGGAGTCGAGCACCCAGGTCTGGTTACAGCACCCCAGGTCTCGTGCCGGAGCAAGGCAAAAATGGCAGGAGCCCAGTGGTCCACAGGCCCCAGGGACCTCCTCGCTTTGGCCTCAGCAAGATGAAGGCAGCAGGAAACAGCCCTTCACCAGCACCAGGTAGACACGGATGGCAACTTCCTATATGTGTCGTACAGACTGGCACAGGGCTGTGGAGGTGACAGAACCTTTGCACAACCCGAAGGAAGAAACTCCATCCTGTGGTCTAGAAAGACAAGCCAGTGTCTCTATCACAGTTTCCCACCAAGATGGTTCTGCCCCCAGGAGACATTCGGCGATGTCTGGGGACATTTTTGGTGCCGCAACAGTGTGGGTGGGTGGGTGCACGTGTGTGTCTGTGTGTGTGGTCATGTGTGCACATGGGGGTGCAGGCAGCGTCTCACGGGATAGGAGTAAGGGTGCCACAGGCAACCATCCTGCAGGACAGGACAGCCCCTCTCAGAAACCCAGCTGGTCCAGGAGCTCAGGGGAACCGTGGGTCAGACTTGGGCTCTGTGTTCAGCTCTTAAAACTCTAAGGAAAGCCAGGCGTGGCGGCACTTACCTGTAAAACCAGTCATCTTGGAGGCCGTGCAACTTTGAGTGCAGCCGGCAACAGAATGACTAAACCCGTTTGAAAAGTCATACAAAGTAGCAAAGGGGCTGAGATGCAGCTCAATGCAAAGGTCTCAGTGTAGGAGAGTTCAGCTTGGTGACACGGGGGACACACTCTCAAGCAGGACTTCCCCACTGTGACCGAAGAGCACTGCAGTGAGGTTCCTGGGAGCACTTCTCAGCCTCTCCACTTAGCCCGCCTCTTCCATGCCTGTCCCCTCCCAGGACCCTGGGGCTGCCTGCACTGGTCCATTCAGGCTGATGGCAGGGATGCCCTCCCTCAGATCCAGGTTCAGGGGAAAGCCTGGGCACCCACTACTGACCCCAACCTGAGGGGACAGCCTGTACCAGGGGACCCTGGACACAGAACCCTCAGGGATCCTCAGGGAAGTCCCCAGCCAGCACAGCCTCTGCCCTCACACTCAGCTCTCAGGTCCCTGCCTCCTCCCCTACTTCAGGAGCCAACAACAGACAGCCGCAGATTCAGGGAGTGCCCCACGCCCACCCGACATCCACTTTCTTTGAGGTCATTACTTATGCTGCAAGGGAGAGAAGCAAGGAGAAAGGGCAGGAAACACTGGGCTGGAGTGGTTACATCAGGAAGCATGAGATTTTCCCCAGGGACAGGGCAAAGTCACAAGAAGCACTTCCGAGTCAAGGGCAGAGATGAAGACAGTGCACCCTGCTGACCCCATCAGGAAAATTGAGAGATAATTGGAAATGTAATAGCTCAAGTAGGGACAGAGAAAAGATGTCGCCATTGACCTTGCACTGAAAGACAGCTCTGCACCAGTCTATGGTCAGGCTAACCGCCGATTAGGACTCTGCCTCTGACACGTGTCCCTGGCCCGCAAGACACGAGCTCCAAATTGACTCAGAGGGACCAGTGCTGCATCCTGCCTGCTGGACTCCAGGCTACAGAGCTCATGGCCCTCTCCAGGTGACACAGACCAAGGGACCCCATTTCACAGAGAGGCCACCAATACCACTCAGAGACCAGACCAGTGCAGGGAACAGCTGAGGTTTGGAGGTCGGGACAAAGGTGTTGGGACTGAAAAGCCTGTGACCTCTGAGTTTGTCTTCTCAGATGTGCTTACAGGGCTAAGCTGAGAGACATATTACAGCCAGTGTTAATCCACAGAACACTGCAGACAGGAATGGGGAAGTGGAGGCCTGCCTTTGCGGTCTCCAGGCCCTCATCCACCCATTCTCCTAGCAGTGTCTGTCACTGCTCCAGCAAGGACCTCAGAGGTGCTGAGAGGGGGCTGCAGAGATTCTATCTGGCCTAGAGAACAGCTTTGTCTGTGAAAAACCAGGACCAGATGGGCACCACAGCCCAAGGGAGGTGAGTTGCAGCTCACTGTGGAGGGAGGAGCATGAAGTGGACCAGGGCCTGCTGTGTGGTCACCACTCACTGTGCCCCTGGTGAGTCCATAGCGCATGTGTCTTCTCCCATCTTCTCATAGCACTTCTTCCCTCCCACCCACCATTGAGCTCTGTGCCTCTCCTCTTCCTCCTCAGGAGACAGTGCAAGTGATGGGAGATGTGACCCTGGGAATGAAGCCACAGCCCAGAGAACACAGCTCCTGGGCTGGAATCATCTCCTCCACCATGGACGGAGGGCTTGGTCACCCTCGAATTCATTGATGGAGACCTAATCTCCACCCTGATGGTACTAAGAGGGGCGGGCTGTGGGAAGTGATGAGGACCAAGCCCCACATTGGAATGAGTTTGCTCATCATCAAAGGTGCCTGAGACGCCTTCTCTCTCCCACCATAGGACAGAGTGAGACAACTGTCACCTATGAACCGGGAATGGGCTCGCCAGAATGCAAGGACCCTGATCTGGGACCTCAAGCCTCCAGAAAGTGAGAAACAAATTCCCCTTGCTCACTGTCACCTGGGCTTTGGTGTTCTGTGTAGTTGCTCAGATGGACTGAGATAACTACTTACTAACTGTGTCACTCCAACAAATCTCCGACCTCAGCATGCTACCCCCATAAGAGAGCTATGAGGATACTGTGATTTTTTAGGGCTGAATGAGTACCCCAGAAAACACCTCAGAGGTCCTGAGAGTGGGCTGCAGGATTCCACTCAGCCCAGAGTGCAACCTGTCTGTGGAGCACGTACCTGAATGACACCCATTCAGTGTTTGTCACTTCTTCTTCTTGCTCTCCCTTTTGGCTCTTCCTCTTCCTCTTTCCCTGTTGAAGTAGAGTGTGGAGGAAAAGCAAGCAGAAGTAGAAAAGGAATCCTCGAATTTCAGACCCAGAATGAACCTAAAAGTGCCTCCGCTCTGCCCTCCTCATTTCATAGATGACAGAGACCCAGAGTGAGAAAGTGAAGGGGAACGGAGAGCTCCATGGCCCTCTCCTACCACTCATAGCCAGGGCAACCAGGACGGTGGGCAGAGAGGAGGACTTCGGCCACAGATCTGTAGTTGGTCCAGTTCATATTTACTCAGAACAGGGGCTTCTGGGATCTTTTCAAAACCTGAATTATTTTGATGGAAATGCTTCAAAACTAAGATTATTATATTTCTAACTGGTGTTAACATTTTTGCTCACATTTGTCTGTTCCCCAAAGGTATCCAAAGCATTGACTGCTCTATGGTCCCTGTTAGGAGGACCTCAAGGATCTGTCCAGCGTGGCTTCCCCATGCTCAGCTCCCAGGATTGGCCTCAGTTCAGCCCAGGCTGCCCTGGGCCTCCACACCTGCTCTCTGGAGCTTGGTTCATCACTATATGATTTAATTCTTTGATGGGAGAATTCACACTACCTGTTATAACTGGATATCCCCCCCAAGACTTATAGAATCATATGTGGGACTTTGGGGAGGTGACTGGATCATGGGTCACTGTACTCATTGGTGGGTTAGTCCACTGATGAATTTATAGCTGACTGTGCTCTCAGGATATGTGGCCTGGAAAGAAGAAGTGTTGCTGGAGGTGTGACCCAGAAGGATGTATATCCCGCACTCCTTCCTGGCCACCATGATGTGAGCAGCTCTCCTTGCCAGACTCTTCCATCATGTCTTCCGGCCTTCGAACCAGCCAAACACGGACTGCATGTTTGACTCAAGATAAAACTCTCTTCCTTTAGGTTTGGGTGCTGGTATCGTGTCTCTGCACCAAGACACTGCACAAAAGCTAGAATGGAAAGTGCCTGCTGTGGCTGGAATGCTCATCCACCCCCCCAACTCATGCTGAAACTCAATTGCTGCCAGAGTGGGGACCTGAACTGTCCCCAGAGACCCATGTGTTGGTGAAGCTTGTCTCCAGAGTGTCTGTCAGAGGCCATGGAACCTTTAAAAGACAGGACCTAGGGGAAGGGTTTGGGGTCATGGGAATGTACCTATGAGGGGAATAGTGGGACCTCAACCCTTCCCTCTTCCTCCCATTTTCTTTGCAACCACGAAGTGAGAGGCTTTGTTCTGCCACACATATGCACCCTGCCATGATGACACGTTGCCTCACCCTCGATGGAAACAAGGGAGCCAGCTGATCATGGATGGAGACCTCCCACATGCAGAGCCACAGTAAAGCTTTTCCTCCTGCAGTTGATGATCTCAGCTATGAGTTACAGCGCTGGGGTGCTAACTCAGTTGCCATGGTAACAGGAATGGGTCCTGTCAGTAGTGAAAGGGTTGAGCAGGTACCCACCCTCACCAGTGGAGTGGGCACCATTATAAAAGAATGGGCTCGGACCCCTCTTCTCCCTCTCCTCCCATCATGGGACAGTGCAGCTAGAAGCCCCTGGCCAGGTGCCCCCTGGTAAGGTACTTTCCCACTCTCCAGAGCTGAGACGCCACAGTCTTGCATTCATCTGAAAAGGCTCAGGTGGGGAACCCTGTTCTAGCCATGCACGCTGAGCCAGGACAACACCCAGGTCACTGTGCTTGATCCTGTATGCCGTGGGTGAAGTGGGTAATTTAACAACTACTCTCCAGAGACAAAGTTCCCCCCTCTGCCTCTCAAAGAGGTTTTCCTGGTGGAACAGGTGTTTGTGTGTGTGTGTGTGTGTGTGTGTGTGCGCGCACGCGCGCGCGCACACACATGCTCTTCCCACTGGCCCAGCTATGAGGCCCCTCTGTTGGCAACACCTGGGCCACGGTGCCCACCCTCACCCCTGAGTCAGGCCCAGTGGCCATGAATTCTCTCAACACACAACTTCAGGAGGACAAGCATGCATGACTAACCGTGAGACAATCCGGTGATGCAAAGGCATGCGACTTATCTCATCTGCATGGCGTGTCATCCAGACGCTGAAGGGGAAGGTTTTCACTGCCAGTTCCCAGAACAAAGAATTTGAAGGAGTGAACATGTATATGTGGGTGGCCCTGGGAGCCTCTGACAACGCCTTGCTGCCCTGTCCCAGCTCCCCCACGCCTGCCTGGTCAACTGCTCAAACTGAAAAAGACAACACTGTCTCTGTGCCCCAGACCAGAGCTCCCACGGCCTCCTGCACTTATCAGTCAGACACTGCCCCATTTCCTAAGGAGAACTCTGAAAATAACCCTGAAATACATTTTGCAGAGTGGGATAAGTTGTTGCTCTAAATTATCAAACCAGCCAATCAAAATCCAACTCACCAGGCAGTACACTATTCAGACTCTCACTTTGTGGCACTTGAGAATGGATTTAAAAGATTATTATTTCCCCTTGTTTTCAGCAAGGATGAAGACTCAGAAAAAATAGGGGCTTTGGCAGGGTTATGCAGCTGCCAAAAGTACTGGACCCCTCCCTGTGACTCAGATATAAATAGCTACTTGGGATACCCCAAAATCATCCCCACACTTCAAAAGATTAAGTGATTATATAGACAGTATCGCATGCTGCACTACAACACTTTAATGATTTCCGGATGCCCTATGATAGGTCCCAGATTACTACCACGAGACATTTTACATTTTGACAGCTGCCACCATTTGAAATTTTTGAGCTGGAGTCCAATTAGCACATGCCCGGCCAGAACCCACGAGGTGACACACCCACACAGTGACTTCTGAAGCATTTGCATGACTGTCATTTCCTATAACCACGAGGCTCATGAGTTGAATGAAGGGACTCAAAAAACATGAAACACCACGTCTGTCTATACCTCAAAAATCCAGTGTCTTCTTGCATGAAAATATCTCACATATATAGTTTAAAATAAATTTAGGAAAAATGATGGTGCTTGAGTCAGTGTTCTCCAAAGTACAGAACAGAGAGGACACATTTGTCTGTACAGAGAGGGAAAGAGACTGAGATTGTAAAGGACTGGTGTGAGCTGCTGATGGGCTGGCAAGTCTGAAATCACTTGGTGGAGCCTGGGGGTTGGAGAAAGGGCTGGCTGTGTCAGGTAAGCTTCATTTAAAAGATCCTCTGTTGGGTGGAAAGATCCCTGAACAGCCTATTCTCATCACCAGTTTACAGAGGGGCTGGTGCAAGCACAGAGCTTTTAGCATCATTCCGGGGGGTAAATGCGACGGCAGGAGATGTCCAGTCTGCTTGGGACAAGCAGGACAGCTCATAGGGCTGCTGTCCCAAAGCTGGAGGCAGAAGGCCTTGGTGAAGTTTCAAAGGCATCGCTGGCACCAAATACTATTCAAAGCCCTGTGCCCTGGAACCCCTGGGTGACACCAAAGGGACCAAATTGGGGACCACATTTTGACCGTCTCTCCACATAAGTGGTAATATTTCTTATTTTAAATTATTTATTACTTCATGTTCCCAATTAAGCTATAATGGGACAGGCAAACTATTTTACTGGGCAATTAAAAATATTAATCATACTCCCCAGTGAGTAAACTGCAAGGCCAAAAGGTGAGTTGTTTACCGTATCACCCCCCTGAAAATGTGTGGGCACATCCTGCTATTGCTGCTACAAGTAAAAACAGCTGCGGAAAAGAAACAAGACAAACTGGTTAGCAGCCTCTTTGAAAGCCCTATTTTTAGAATAATGGCAAAGCTGTCTGTGTTTGCATAAGGAGCAAAGGTGATTGATGGATGGGAAAGGGGCAGCCAAGTCCTGGCTCCAAATGAAGGCCTCCAGGATAGAGAGGGTGCGGAAAAATGGGGAGCAGAAAGACCCTCCCTAGGCAGAGGTTGGCGGAGAAATATCATCGCACATTAGCCTGACTCAAAGATCCCATCTTTGCCATGTGCACAATGAAACAGTAAATTCAAATTAGCCCCTTCCTGGAGAACAAAAATGACATGATGAGCCCTGGTTTGTCATTAGTTGTTTTTTTTGTGACGCCTGTGTGTGAATACATATGGCCACCAGACGCAAGCTGATTTTTCCAAACAAAAACAAAATAAACCGAAAAGCCTCACCTGCACTTCCAGCCAGGCTGACTTACCTACTGAGGGGCTCTTTGTGCTCCAGCTGGGAGTAGCTGGCTACATGAGCACAGGGCCACAGAGGACGGGGAGGGTGCTGTCAAGGCTGTGTGTGTCCCTCAGCCCCAGGATGTGAGCCTGGGGTTTTGCAGGAAATGGAGGGAAGGAGACTGCACGTTCCCATAGATGGAGCTGCATCTGGGGTGCAAAGGAAAAGCGCCCTTTTAGAATCCTAAGGCAAGTGCAGTGGCCTTGTCCTTCCTGTGTTGCTCAAGCCACATGCCCACTGTCCAGTGCAGAACCTGGACACAGATGGTGTTCTGCCTTTTGTCCTGTGCAGTGGTCAGTGAATGACTGTTTGATCCTACGAGACTCGCATTGATCAGCCTCAGAAGAAAAGAGCCCCAGCTCCTCCGTCTGTTAAGAAATCCATTCTCTTGAACAGCGATTCAAAAAGGGCTTTCTCTAATAGAGACTGGATGAACCCATTGGAATATTCTCCTAGCTGTTTCCT